GGTAAAGATGGTTTATGAAAAGACAGCATTGGGATATGATTAATCATACAGGATTCTAAATATCTACACAAAATCAGACCAAAGGAGAATAGTCTTAGGAGAGAAACAATTAGGCAGAATGTATACATGCCTCTTCATATTTATATAAAATTATATATATATATATACATATTATATCTAAATGAACTCAGTGATACAGAACAAAAGATCTGTCTTTCTTCTTATAATATTTGATGATTCTGTTTTCTTTACATATGGCAAATTCAAGTGTACATACTCAGGAGGGATGAGAGAATATTGAATTGTATGGATTTCAAGGTAATAATTGTGAATAGGGGCAGCAGTGGAGCTCAATGGACATGGATGGAAGTGAACTACACAACTTTATATATTTCATAGGTGGAGAAATGAGGGTGGGACTGGGAGAGAGTGAGGGAACAGAAGAGATAGTACAAAATTATCTCATCATCCATTATCACTGTACTCATCTGATTCATATAATTATAATCCCTCTGTAAATCTCCTTTATAATCACAATAAAATAAATATTTTTAAAAGATGATTAGTACTTATAAACCTCAGGAAAAATGGAGAAAAACATAATGGAAAGACAAAATTTGCCATTGTGAGGCGGAAATCAGTTACCAATATATTAAAGATTTGACAAAAGCAACTTTTAAATAATTCTGAGAGATCAGGACATAGATGAACTCTTATAAAAATAAATTGCCATGAATTAAAAAAGAATAGACAACATTGGGAATAATGCTCACTGTGAGTGGTCATCAACTTAAGCAGGAATTCTTCACCAATTTTCATACACATACGAAATACATATGCAGAAACAAACATAGAGTCTATTAAGATATTACAGAATCTGATTACAAGGTTTCAAAAATTCAATCATGGAGTTAAAATTACGCTAAACACTATCATTACATCCAGATGAATCCATTGTAGGTTGGATATACTATTTGTCAAAAATGCATATAATACAAGCTGGGTGCCAGACACTTCTACTACAATGTCCTGAATGGCCTGTAGTGTTAGCTGCTCAGGAGGCTCAGATCTGAGGATCAGGGTTCAAAGCTAGCCTGAGCAGGAAAATATGTGTGAGACTCTTATCTCCAATAAACCACTGAGAAAACCCAGGTGGTACTGTGGCTCAAGTGGTACAGAGCTAGCCTTGAACTGAACAGCTGAGGGAGAGTACCCAGGCTGAGTAAAAGCCCAACAAATGACAAAAAATGCATCTATTACAAATATCCTGCAGAAACATTTTCTGTATCCAAGCTAACTTACATGACTCTCTGAATACTTCCATGATTCTGCTGTTGGGCAAATACATGTAACAAAAAGCCTATTTTTATAATCATTGTATATTTAATTGGAAACTGTGGTGTGGTTCCCCTGATTGGTATCAGGAAGAATATTAGTACTATGTATCAATCACCCATGGAAACATAAGCATTTAAATATGAATCTAGATTGCTACTGTGCACACACTGCTTTTGAGACAGTGGAAACGAAAAAAGAATAACAATTATTGATCTATTGGGAGTGCAAACCAGTGTAAGTTGAAGATTATCTATGTATGAGATGTGTGGACCTCTAAAATATTTTAAATTACAGTAAAACTTTTAAAATTAAAATTTAGTGGTATAGATAATGAAAAAAAATAGTTTCAGAAAAACTATACATTATACAAAATTACTAGTTAGCTTATTACATTTTCTACAAATGGAGAGGAATGGAAAGGTCTTGGACCACCTCTTAAAAGTCACAAAAATATAAAGTGAATGGACACAGGAGACATGCAGAGGTCAAAACAAATAATTTTGGAATGAACTACTAGATATTAAGGTCGGCTTCCTTTGAGTTTCTAAATAAGTAGGAACACTCGCCAGGGCATTTTGCCCACTTTTCTTCTCCTTGCCTATTAGCACTGGGGTAATAAGCAAAGATGCGGTAACTGCAGGACAGCTTGTATTTACCCTATATTACAGTGATGATGGACTATCAGAAGAAAATGCAATGAAAATAAAAAAAAAGAATATGAGAATTTCTGTTTCACTGGGTACAGGGAAAAGACAGTTTGTCAGGGCACTAACCCTATCTCCACAAGGATTTGAAGTCTCAATTTCCCTTCTTATGCAACTGTTCCAAAGATGAGAAACTTTCTGAATAGATAGAGAAGGGATCATGGCACATTATAATGTTCATGGTTAAGCTTATTTTCAAATATTGTCTAGATATATTGTTCTATTGCATCTTCCCTTGCCACTACATATTCTCTCAATGATTATGCAGGATCACAGCCGCTGATGCAAACAATGACCATGGGAGAAAGCAGGGCTGAGCAGAAGGGACACAGATGGGGCAGCAAAATCTCTGACTCATTTTCTGTGAAGTTTGTGGTGGAGGCTGAAGGACTGAGGGGGAAGTTTACAAAACTGTGGAGAGTAACAGTTGGTTATGTGAATCACAGGGAGGCTGGTGATGGTCAGTGTGAAATTTGTCCCAAATACTCTCTATGGAACCCACCAGGGACCCAGATATCCAAGAAAATGGCCACCACATGAGCACTGTAGGAGCATGATCTATTTCCTTCTGGTCCTAAGCTAAGCCATTCTTCTGGTTGTAGCTCTTTAAAAGACTGGCTTGACTTGATATTCCTGGTGACCATCTTTACTATACATATAGTCACAGAGATTAGAGGTAGAATAATCATCAATTCCTTAAAGACACTTTCCATCAGGAATAGAGAATGGCCACACATTGCATCATTGGTCGCATTAAAATGTGTATGGGTAAGTGGTTTTCCAATACAACAACTTTCAGACTAATATAGATTATTTGCTTTATTCTATATGCCCCAAATCAAGTTTTAGTTCTTCAAGATATCACTCATCTAAACCTCCTGTCTAACCTCCAGAAGCAGGATGAAGAGGAGTGTGGGTGCTGGCACTTTCTTGATGTCCTCACTCATCTGAATCACTCCAGAAACTTCTTTTGGGAAATCCTGTAACCAGAGCTCTGAGCATCCAGCCATGGTCCTGGGATCCAGTGTAAAGCTTCAGCAAGGGTGAGAGCAAAAGTGTGTTAACAATGAGCAAGAGGATTTAAACTGATAAAAGACAAAATACCATATTTTAATAGGATTGATTATAAGAGTACTGAAAGTTCAGAATCAAAACTGTAATGATCTGTATTCTCCAGTTAACTTTATACATACATAATAGCTTTATATTAAATCATTCTAATTAGCCAACATCAACATAGAAAAGTAAATTACTAACAGAGTATGTGAATGTGAACATATAATTTCAAAACTTTATTAATATGCATACATATGTCAGAGCATGAAATATGTTCATGTTACTAAATAGAAGAACAGAGTGCACAATTCATTCCTCCAACTCAGACTCTTCTGCAGTGTAAATATGTATTGTAAGTTTACCATGAACGATTTGAAAGCATCTCAGAATCTCCCAGCAGTCTCTTTTCTGTGTTCTATGACTGTGAGTTGTACTTTGAACTAAGATGAAGATGGTGTCAGAATTCTCAGCTGAGCTGGCACTCTCCACCTTTATAATAAACAAGACTTGGAGGAGAAGCCATTTCATACCTTATGAAGAAGCTATTCCTCATTAAAATAACATTATCAATTCCTTAGCTCATATTTTCCTTAAGAGGTTAAATAATTATCTTATTTTCATAATTAATTTTTTCTGGCATTCACTAGTTGTTGTCTCATTTTTTGTACTAGGATCTCTTTCTTGGAGCTTGTCCTTAGTTTCAAGTTAAATCAGCATCATCTTGCATTTTTTTTGGTTCTCCAATGGAGAGATAGACATTCAACTATCTATTAATAGTTCCTATTAGTGAATAATGGAATTCAAAAACTACAGGTGAATTTTAGGGATTGAAAAGTTATTTTATTTTCCAGGCAATGGAGAACTGTGTAGATACTTCTCTATCTGCACAAGGATGCATATGTTTCTGCAGAAGGAATGAGAGAAACATAAGCTTACATTAATACTTTTAATTCCATTTCCAAACCACAGTTAATTTCAATTGCCTTTCAATAGAAATGGGAAACATTTATGAGTGAATATCTTGACTAATTATTTTAATGAATAATGCAAGGTTGATGTATGCTTCCATTGATAACTACTCCTAGTCTTCACCATCATATATATATCCATTGTGGACAACATCGACAAACACACACCTGCTTCTCTCTGCAATGTTTCTGTGGTCATCATTGAAGGTAGCTTCCTCTCTTGGCCTGGATCTGATTCCCACACTGGGATCCCCTACCAATAGTGAATATTGTTGCTTATTCTTCTTAATTATTAATCACTTTGCCAACACTAACACTGCTCCCACATGAGGATACAGTTTGGACTCCAGTATGGCCAAACTCCACATGGGGAGACTTACTTTCACTCCCTTACATGCTTTTCTTATCAATCTTGGGCCACGTTGCCTTAAATCCAGTTAATGAGAAACATGTTTCTTAAGGCACTAAAATATTGGGACCAGGTAGAATTTGCTTATTTGGGCCATAGTAAATTCATGCGAATGAATGAACACTTGGTAGAAACAGGATGTCTTCTACTGAAGAAAATGGGATCAACAGTGGGTAAAGAGTTGGGGGCCATTGGCTTATTCCTAAAATCCTAGCAACACAGGAAGCTCTGGTCTGAAGAATATTACCACAAACTCAACAACAACAACAAAAGAGTATGTAGAGATCAGGCCTGTAATCTCTGGCATCCAGGAATTATCAGGCAAAGATACATACAATTGTGAACATTGCCTCAGATGGGAAAGGACAGTATTCTCAACTTGGGATACAGAGGAATTATAAATGGAGCAAGGCAAATTATTATCCAAAGTTAATGGTATAAGGATGAATGGTACTGGTCTTTCTTATAAGTCAGAACACTCCTGCTTTTACATTGCTCTAATTTCACAAAAGGATTATGATGGTATCAGAGCAAAGAATAACCATCTGTGTTATCAGTAATACCTGTGGGAGAGGTGAAGAATGTGTCAGAGGTTGCAATTTTGGGGATTATACTGTAACAGACAGGCCATTTCATAATGGAATGTGAGCAGGGACAAAATGCAGTGGATCTGGAAGAGATCAAAATGGCATCCTACCCACAGATCCTTGATAGGTGCTGTTCTTCAGCATCCAGAGACAATCATGTTTTCTGCATTTGAAGCTGATCTACTCAAACAAGACTGATGACTCTTGAGGACAGTGGACCTTTACTGAATTGTTGAAGTAAGACAGAACTGCCACTGTGCTCAGCCCTGTCCAGACTCTGCTTATTTGCATATACCCAAAGCACAGTCCACTGACTTGAGGATTTCTTCACAGCCCAGACATATCCTATGCTGGAGTTATTCTCCGGCACACAGCATGGACATGAGGTTCTCGGCTCAGATCCGGGGTCTCCTGTAGATCTGGCTTTCAGGTAACAAAGACAGCACTGGAAATTTGTTCAGCACAGTGTGGTGTATTCAATCTGACATTCTATGGAAGTTCTCCTACAACACGCTTATCAGTAAGGGTATTTATTTCCATTTTTCCTCTGTCAGGTGCCAGATGTGACATCCAGATGACCCAGTCTCTGTCCTTCCTTCTAATCTCCAGGAAAGAGAGAGAGTCACCATCTCTTGCCATATCATTCAAGCATTAGCAGCAGTTTATCCTGGAATCAGTAGAAACCAGGAAAGCTCCTAAGTTCCTGATCTACCTTACAGTCAGTTTAGAATCAGCTGCCCAGTTTAGGTTAAGTTACAATGGATCTAGGACAGAGTTCATTCTCACCCTCATCAACCTGCCTATTACTGTCAACAAGGTTACAATACTCCTCCCACAGTGATACAAGTCATACCCTAAAACTCCCAGGGAAGCAGAAGTGAGAGTCTGTGCTGCCCCGGTTGCTCCTGTTTACCTGCTCAGAGTATTTCCTAGAAGCAGCCTGGCTCTGAAGGTCACTGCAAGGCTTGGGTACAAGGGCCAGAAAGGCTTTTTTGCATCCTAATCCTCCACTTTTTTCTCAGTTCCAGATGCATAGACATGATCCTGTCTATTGGTATCCTTCAAAATTGAGGTTTTCACACATGAAGTTCAAGTGTTCTAAAATCAGTTAGTATTCATACAGCAAAATGGGAGTCTGCAGATAAACAGAATTGTTCCAATGCAGTCAGTTGAAGTCTATGTTCTAGCCATTATCTTGAAATTGGATATGTGGAACATGGGGTTGTCTGAAGCTTCTTCAGAATCCAGGGCTCCTTTAAATGTGTAGCCTGGTTGACTCTGAGCTGTTCAGACTTGTTCTGGAAGAGATAATTAGATACATATCCTGGATTAGTGCTGATCTTCAGCATCCAGAGTGAAGCCTGTTGTTTGCTGACAGATCTGCACTCCTCTTATACAACTTAGCTCTTTGGAGTTGTCCTGGAGTGGTAACAATAGAAAGAGTTCTGTATGGCCCCTAATGTTGAAAATATAAAATTTAGTAGGCGGGATGTATCTCAACTGGGAATGGATATTCTTTAAAGTGCTATTCTTTGCCAGGCACTGGTGACTCATAACTATAATTCTAGCTATATAGGTGGTGGCAGAGATGTGGGGATCATAATTTGATGCCAACTAAGCAGGAAAGTCTGTGAAAATTTGATCTCCAATTAACCCCCCAAATCTGGAAATAGATCTTTGTCTCAAGCTTTCAAGCACTAGTCTTGAGTAAAAAAAGCTGAAGAACAGTGCCCAGGCTCTAGGGTCAAGCCCCAAGACAGCTTAAAAAATAATAAGTACAATAAAATTTAAAAATATAATTTTATTTTGACATCTGGGACCAAAGTAGATAAACTTCATCAAGTTATATCATAAACACAATGTGAGGGATTATATTAAACAGGTGAAAATGATCTAATGAGCAATATATTCACTAAAGGTAAGCAAATACAAAAAAAATTATACATTCCTCCGTAGATAAATCCTTCAGTACTTATTACTGACCAGAAGCCATTGACATCATCTAAATTACTCTCGCATGATCAACATGGGAAATGAAGTCTGTACTTTACTCCTGTGATTATTTACAAAATTCACAAAGACTGCTTTTAGGATTATTTACTTTGGCCAAAGTGACCATGATATTGAGGAATTTAGGATTACGATTTTAGAAATTTAGGAATCTCTCTCAATTTCTGAGCTTTTCTATACCCAAAAGAGCAGTTTTTAAAAATAGGTTTTTATTTTCTTTAGGTCATTGTACAAAGGAGTTGCCATTCTACAAAACAGTTTATGCATACAATACCTCTTCAATGTCATCCCTTTTAAAATTCTCACTCCTTTCACACCACACTTTCCTTCAGGTTTGTTAGCAAATTTTTTTTGGCTGGTCATGGGGCCTGAAATCTGGGTCAGGGCGCTCTCTCTTTGGTCTTCAGCTCGAGGGGAACACTCTCCCACTTGAGCCAAAGTGCCACTCCCGGCTCTTTCTGCTTATGTGGTGCTGAGAAATCGAATACAGGGCCTCATGCATGTAAGGCATGTAAGGCAATACTTTACCACTGAGCCACCTTCCTAGCACATGTTTGTTAATTTTAATTTATGTTTTGATATTTTTTTCCCTTTACAACAAAGCGATTCATGCATACAATGCATCTTGAGATATATAAGCCCTCCTTTGACCTACCCTTTCCCTTATGTTTCTGTTTTGTGGCATATGTAGTGCATTCTTACCTGCATTCTACTCATTTCCTCTATTCTTCTACCTCTTTCCTACTGATCTCACACCCTCTTGCAAGTACATTTCCTAGCACTCATTTTTTTACATCTTGACATGATCTCAGAAAATCAGTTTTAATATATTTCAAAACATTTCTAACAGTTTCATAATATTGTCTAACAAAGATGAAATAAAATTAGTAGAATTCATCATTACCATACTTTGGATAATTATGTGTGTGTGTGGATGTGTATATGTGTCTGTCTGTCTGTGTGTGTGTGCCTTCTAGTGATGGTACTTGAACTCAAGACCTGGGCACAGTTCCTGCATTTTGTGTTCAAAACTAGTGTACTACCACTTGAGCAACAGCTCCACAACTAGCATTTTTGTTGATTAATTGTAGATAAAAATCTCATGGACTCTCTTTCCTGGGCTGGCTTTGAGCCATTGATCCTCAGATCTCACTCACCTGAGGGATTAAGAATTAGGATTTCGAAATAGAATAAATAGCCAAACAATTCTAGGCAAAAAAGGAATACAGATATAATCTCAGTCCCAAGACTCAAGCTCTAGTATGAGCTATACAAAAATCTTGGTACTGGCACAAAAATAATCCCAAAGATGAACAGAACAGACTAGAAGACCTAGAAATAAAACTATATATTTGATATGGTTTGATTTGGAGTCAAAGTATACACTAGGAAAATAATAGCTTCTTCAATAATTGATTTTGAAAAAACTGAGCACCCATATGAAGGAAACTAAAAATCGATCCTTGTTTGTCACCATGTACAAATATCAACTCATAGAGGATCAAAGACCTCAGCATTATACCTGAAACTTTGAAACTACTACGAGAGAGTAGGAGAAATACTAGAAGTCATTGACATAGGCAGAAAGTGTTAGGATAGAGTTCCAAAGATATACCAGATAGGAGAGAAACTTGACAAATGGGATTGCATCAGACTAAGAAGTTTCTGCATAGCAAAGGACATTGTTACTAAACTAGAAAGATAGCTAACAGACTATGAGAAGATCTTTACCAGCAATACTTCAGACAAAGTCTAATATCCAAATTATACAATGAAATGAAAAACTACCCCCACTCAAAACTCATAAATCAGTTAGTTAATGGGCAAAGTGCTGAGGATAGATGACATAGAAGATGAGGTAAGAATGGCAAAGGAGCACATAAGGAAATGATCTTCATACCTGTCCATAGAGGATATGAAAAATAAGACCAACTCATAGATTCCATCTCACTCGAGTAAGATTGGCCAACATTGTGAATTCAAATAACAAATGTTGGCAGGGATGTAGAGGAAAAGGAATCTTCTTGCACTGTTGGTGTGAATGTAAACTGACACAACGACTCTGGAACAGTCTGGAGGTTCCTCACAAAATGAAACATAGATCTTCCTTGAAACCCAGCCATACCACTCCTACACATTTACCCTGAAACTCACAAGCCAGGACACCATATAGACACTTCCACATCCATGTTCATTGCCACACTATTCAAAATAGCCAAGTTGTGGAAAGAGCCGAGATGCCTTATAATAGATGAACAGCTAAAGATGTGGTACTATTCACAAAGGAATTGTACCTAATCATTAGAAAACATAAAATTATGTCATTTGCCTGGAAATGGATGGACCTAGGACAAATCCTGTTGTGTGGTATGCCAAGCTCAGATAGAAAAGTTGTGCATGGATCTGGGAAGGTGGCTCAGTGGTAGAGCGCTTGCCTTGCATGCCTGAAGCCCTGGGTTCGATTTCTCAGCACCACATATGCAAAAAAGAAAAAGCTGGAAGTGGCGCTGCAGCTCAAGTGGTAATGCGCTAGCCTTGAGCTGAAGACCTGAGGGACATCGCCCAGGTCCAGGGTTCAGGCCTCACGACCGGACCAAAGAAAAAAAAAAAGAAAAGAAAAGTTATGCATGATTTCTTTCATGTGAGGAGTCTATAGCTAAAATATAAGTCTCCAGGCATGTGCAGAAAGTGAGACTAAAGGAGAATATTCTTAAAAGAGGAAAAAAAGACAAAATTCCTGTGTACTTATTTTTAACTTTAAACATATATTTTTACTGTAAAAATACTGTACAGAGGGATTACAATTACATGAGCAAGGTAATGAGCTCGTATCCTATCCAGCATTGTTACCCCCTTATTTTATTTTAGCCTACCATTCATTTCCTCACCACCTCCCCAACTCCTCCTTACCACCCTGGGAGCACATTTGTAAAGTTCATTTTCAACATAGTGTCTTATATATCTCG